CATGAAATGAAATAAACAACATCCTGGCGGAAATTTATAAATCTGAAGAAAATCAATAAAAGACATGAAAGATAATTCGAATCGTAAATTCTATTTGAAAACGCACGTCATATATTCGTTATTTGCAGAAAGAAATTTAATTATTGCCGTTATAAATCTTGTAAATGTTGATTTTCATGAACTCTGTCAAAAATCGACATTTTGTACTTCAATATCTTGAGTTTCTCCCAATATTTAAGTTATAATATTTCAATAACCATCACTGAAATCGACTGAAAACCGTTTCTTTATCTTTCAGTCACGGCACCAGATGTGCCGGCGAGGTTGCCGCTGCCCGTGATAATGGAATCTGTGGAGTTGGCGTTGCATATGACTCGAAAATTGCGGGCATCCGGATGCTGGACCAGCCCTACATGACAGATCTCATCGAGGCAAACTCCATGGGACACGAGCCGCACAAGATACACATCTACAGCGCCTCCTGGGGCCCCACGGATGACGGCAAAACGGTGGACGGACCGCGGAATGCCACGATGCGTGCCATAGTGCAGGGTGTGAATGAGGTGAGCATCCAGCTTTGCCGGGAGGGTGGCTTGAGTGACAAACACTAATGTGGGAATGTGTCACGCAGGGTCGCAATGGACTGGGTAACATCTATGTGTGGGCATCTGGCGATGGTGGCGAGGAGGACGACTGCAACTGTGACGTGAGTATTTTACAGAGTTACATTTTCCTGGGTCGTCACAGGAAAGGCGGTGAAAATTTCATTAGGGGCAAAATTAGATTTATTCCGAATGGAAATTCACAACTTTCACCGCACAAATTGTACTCGAGAGCGCAGAGTTTGTGTTTAATTCCATACGAGATTTGAATAAAATGCTTAAAATGTGACCTTTTCATTGAGTTGAGGCCAGTTTAATTAGAGCTTTCCCAGAAGAGATGTTTTTGCGAGAAATTCATAGCTTCAGGCACTGAAACATTAATAAATTTTTCTCCTGAACTTCCCCGGAAAAGTTTGTAATTTTCTAGGAGAAGAAGTTCCGTTGAATTTTTCATCCACAATAGTCCTCTTGAGGCCCAGAACAACTTGACTTCCCCTTTTCAAAGATTCTCACGTGGCACGTGAAGAATTCTCGACTCCCACGCTTATTATTCACATGGCGCTCGCTTGTGTGCTCTTCCAACAGGGATATGCCGCTTCCATGTGGACCATTTCGATAAACAGTGCCATAAATGACGGTCAGAACGCCCACTACGACGAGAGTTGTAGCTCTACGCTGGCCAGCACCTTCAGCAATGGAGCGAAGGATCCCAACACTGGCGTGGCCACGACAGATTTGTACGGGAAGTGCACGACCACTCACTCTGGCACCAGTGCTGCGGCTCCGGAAGCCGCTGGGGTCTTTGCCCTCGCTCTGGAAGCGAAGTATGTGATTAATATGCATTATAGTTTATTTGCTAATTTGCCACCCTCTTTCACCCAGTCCAATTCTCACTTGGCGAGATGTTCAGCACATCACAGTGCTGACTTCCAAGAGGAATTCCCTCTTTGATGCCAAGAATCGCTTCCACTGGACCATGAATGGCGTCGGACTGGAATTTAATCATCTCTTTGGCTTTGGCGTTCTCGATGCTGGCTCAATGGTCACGCTGGCCAGACAGTGGCGCACTTGCCCGCCGCGGTATCACTGCGAAGCCGGCGCCATTCTGGAGCCCATGAGAATCCCCAGCAATGGAGCGTCGCTCTACCTGAAGGTCAATACAAATGCGTGCGCTGGATCGGACACAGAGGTGAATTACTTGGAGCACGTTCAGGCGGTCATCACGGCCAACAGCACTCGAAGAGGTGATCTGGAGTTCTTCCTCACGTCTCCCATGGGAACAAGGTGAGCTGGTGCGGAGAATTTGAATTGCAGACTTTTTCTGAATGCATTTCTTGTGTCTCTCGCAGGTCAATGATACTGAGTCGCAGGAAAAATGATGATGACCACAGGGATGGCTTCACAAAGTGGCCCTTCATGACGACACACACCTGGGGAGAATATCCGCAAGGCACTTGGATCCTTGAGGTTGAGCTGAAATTCTGGGGGAAGTTGAAGAGTACTTTTTCTAACAGAGCGTCACTTTCTTGCAGGCTCGCTTCAACTCGCAACAGCCTCGGATTGGATTCATCAAGGAGTGGTCTCTGGTGCTGCACGGCACGAAGGAGGCTCCGTACAGGACTCTGGTTCCCGGATCTCCTCACTCAAAGCTGGCGATCGTGAAGAAAGCTCATGAAGAACGCAAAATGTAAAGGAGTTTTATGTTTACTGAGAGGCTGTGGATTTATTTTTTCCCTGCAAAAAGAAAAAAAAAACCTTCAGTCGTAGTTTCTTTTTTCCAATTATGAAGCAGATGAAAACCAACAAAATTCTGACTTTTCTCCAAATGGTGCATTTCTCTGTGACACACAGTCTTTTACTAGACCTCTTTAATCCATACAATGAGTATAAAGTACCTTTTGAAGTCACTTCAATCACATGGGGATGATGTTGCAAAAGCTAAATGTTGATGATTGTAGACCACTTGCTGTTGGCTCATTTACTAATTTATTAAAGAAAAAAAAATCTGAGGGAGGATAGAAATGTGAATATCTGTGAAAAACAACCAAAAAAAAAACTTAAGAGAGAAAGTAAAAGTATTTCAAAAAAATCAATTTGTGTGCTAAAAAGTGGACAAAAATATAGAGAATTCATGAGAGGGAATAATTCTTGCGCACATAAAGTAGATCATGAGGTGGGAAGAAAATGAAAGTTTACTTTTAGATCGTGAGTAAAGAATAAAACTAATTTACAAGTAGTGAGTGAAAAAGTAGAGAAAAAAATCCATTACACACATTAAAAAAAATGTAGAATGATGAGAGGAGATGAAAAAAAATGTGCAGTTCAATGTCCAAAGTCCACCACAGACAGTAATTCTTCAGCTATTAAAGAAAATCATATTATCTACTTATAATATGACTTATACATAATGAAGTGGGAGAAGATGAAAAATTGTATAATTATTATATTTATATACACTATTATAAACATACATATGTAGCATAAATACCACTGTTCTTTCTTAAAACAACCAGCGAGAAAATGGGGCTGAAAAAGCGCCCGAAGTGAAGTGAAAAAAAATACTGTGTAAAGTGACAAAGAAGAAGAAGTTGAGTCTCCATTTGACAACTATCAGCAGTGAAAATGATGATTTTTAAAAGTATAGATTCGATCTCTAACATTAGACAGAGAAATATTTTTAGAAGAGGGACAAGAGGAGAATCTTATTATGAAGTCTATTAAATTTAATTATTATACAACAATTAATAGAATTATACCTGGGTAGTGGTGAGAGAAGATCTTCAGATTCAGAAGAGTAAAAGAAAAATCTATTTATTATCATTGACAATTAGAAGAGAGACACACACATATTGAAACATTATATCCAGAAGGGAAAGAATGAAGTATCTTTGATGTGTTATGTATTATTTCGCTATGGAAAGAGTGAGAGTGAAGGGATGACAAACCAGCCAAAATGAGGGAAAGAGGAGGTGGAAAAAACGGAAGTTTCAGCATGAAAAGAGAGCTTTTCACATTGCAACCATAAAATTATATTATTAAATCCCTATATAAGTATGAAAAACATGAAACAAGAACACAAAAGATTAAACTAAAAGAGTACATAAATTTAGCCAAAACATTGTTTCACAACCACGTTTTGTAGTTTATTTAGAATACATATATTTTCTTAAAATGTCTTAGAAAAGTTTATTTTTCTCTTTACCATCACACAGAGAAAAAAAACATAACACTTTGTTTATTGACACACAGACGCAGTATTGACTCTAAGTAAACTTCTAAATAAGGAGAGAAAGAGAAATATTGAGAGTTATAGATGATGAGAAGAAAATACAATTACATATATAAATATTATATAAAAGAGAAGAAGAAGAAGAGAAATTAAATATCTATGTACAATATAAATACAACTGTTGCAAAATATGCTTATTTGATTCTCTGTTAATGTCTTGATTTTCTCAAAAAAAAAAGAAACCTTTTTTGAGCTTCGTGATAATGAGAATATTTTATCAAATATGAGTTTTACAACTGTTTGTAGGCAAAAAAAGCACGATAATCACTCTGTCTTTCTTTGCTATATTGTTTTATTGAATGATCTGCTGAAGAAGCGTTTATTGTTTTGGTTTTGTGATTTTCGGGGGGCCAAAGACCATCAAAATTTCATTTTAAAGAGATTATGACATATAAAAAATGCATTGTTACGATATATTGTGGACAGATTAATACAAAAACAAATTGATTAAACTCAATTGTATACAATTTAAAGCATAACAACAGGTTGACAACAGAAAATAAGGCAAAAGATGGCAATTAGAGAAAGAATTTTCTTATAAATCAAATCCAAAGTTGATCATCAATAGACAACAGAGTTATTCAGATAGTAAATTTATCTTTATTTGTTTGTTGTTTTTCTCTTTGGAAAAAAAGAAGAAAATTTTTCACTGGATGAACTTAAATTGAAGAAGAAAAAAAATATTATTGTGTGAAAAAGTAAAATCTCTATTGGAAAATATTAAATGACATATTTTTTCAGATTACCAACCAATTGTATAGATGAAGAAGGGGAAGAGAGAGGATAAATAAAGGATATAAAATTATGATAATATATTTAACTTCATGCTCAGAATTTTACGCATTTTCTCATCGCCACAACATCGAGTGTAAGAGAAAAATAAAATTCTCACATTCAGAGTCACTAATTGGGTTTCTTCACATGTGAAAATCAACACGGGAAATTGCAAAGCAATGATTCAAGGGGTTAACAGCGTCGCACAGCACGTCTGTCATTATCACTGGGAGCACCTAATGATAAATCAAACGCTTCTCTGCCGTGGCACAGCTGTTTCGCACACGCCTTTTTTGGGGTCTTCCTCCAGCTCGACTCTTCCTATCTTGCTATTACGTCTGGTGGCGAAGTGATAAGAGCGGTTGTAAACAGAGATGATCCCATGCTCGAAAATCCGCACTTTAAAGCGTCAAGTGAGCGGACGAGAGTCACTTGTTGGTGATCTTTCAGTGGAGACAGTCGCAAAGGAAAGAGGAGTTCAGTGTGCAGAAATTTCTTCAACAGTAAGAAATAAACTCAAATATTACAGTGATAAATTTATTTATTATTTACCGTTCTCAGTGGTGGCAAAAAAGACCTAAATTGGTCGTGATAAGGAGCCAGTGATCGTTCAATTGAGCCATCAAAAACATGTTTACGAGTGACAAGTTTTATCAACACTTTTTCCTCTCTTTTGTCTCTCAATGATTTCTCTCTACCAAAATGTCACTTCATTGAATCCTGACAACACAAGGAACACAAGTCAATGTGCATCCTCACGTTTCTGGACTGTTGAACTCAATTCCATTGCAGCTCCTTATCATTCGCCGACTGTTTAACACTTGAGACGCGCGGCTAAAAATGCTCCAGAGATAATTGATACTGCATTTCTCAATTTATTATGTAAATGGGCGTGAGAAATTCCAGAGATAATTGCATACATATTTTTCCACTTGAACTCTCGCAGCATTCGCGATGACTTCGTGCACGCAACTGGAGAACGGTGACATTATTGCGGCGAAGAAGGCGATTCAGCTCACGAATGGACACACAAATGGCACAAATGGCATCAACGGCACTGAACACATTGAGTTCACGGACGAGGACTTTGAGATTATCGAGGATGTGGAGGATCCCTACTGTGTTGCCGACAATCCGGTGAAGATTAGCTTTCAGGACATCACATCGGCTGCCTTTCTCATCAAGAGTGGCGTCCAGAACACACCTTGTCTGGTGAGATTATCCTCTTGACTTAATGTGAGGTTTAGAGAAGGGTTTCTTAACCTGTGTTTTTGGCAGAGATCGCATTTGTCGGAGATGACTGGAATGGATCTGTATCTCAAGAAGGAATTCCTCCAGTTCACTGGAAGGTTGGTACGCAATATCTTTAACGCGAAACTAATGCCCATAAAATTATAGCTTCCGCGTGAAATTTCGAGGAATTGTTGCGCTAATCAGGCGTGTAATTAATCAATTATCACCCCACGAGTTGATGATAGTGTAAATCATCTGTGATATCTCGACTTCAGATTTATTACGCCTCACTCGAGTGGCTAAAAATACGACGTGACTTATCTGTTCTTTCGCAGCTTCAAGGAGCGCGGCGCTCGCTACGCACTCCTGATGCTGTCTGACCAGCAGAAACGCACCGGCGTTATCTCTGCGTCCCTGGGCAATCACGCGCAGGGCCTCAGTTACCATGCCAATCGCCTGGGGATTCCCGTGACGGTCGTTATGCCGACAGCGGCGCCCATCATGAAGATCCAGAAGTGTCGCAGTTATGGTGCCAACGTGATCGTCAAGGTAAAGTTTTACAGCCCTGCAAGAGACGCCGGGAAAAGCTAATGCTGAGAATGTCTTCGTGCGCAGGGCGACAACATGTCCGAGGCCAAGAAGATCGCCATGACCATCGCCAAGCGGCGTGGCTTCACTTACGTCAATGGCTACGATCATCCGCACATAATGGCCGGCCAGGGCACGATTGGGTTGGAGATCATTGAGCAAGTGGGTCAGCCGGACGCCGTGGTTGTTCCCGTGGGCGGCGGAGGATTGATTGCCGGCGTGGCAACAGCCATCAAGGCGATTTCCCCCATGACGAAGATCATCGGCGTGGAGTCGGACAAGTGTCCCAGCTTTTCGCGCGCCCTGGAGCACGGCGGCCCCATCCTGACGCCCAACATGGCTACTCTAGCTGACGGCTTGGCTGTTCCCACGGTAGGCTACAACGCCTTCGCCACCGCAGTGCCGCTGCTGGACAAAATGGTTGTGGTGCGCGAAGAGTGGATCGCCCTGGCCATACTGCGTCTGGTGGAGCAGGAGAAGTGCGTTGTGGAGGGAGCTGGAGCTGCAGGATTGGCAGCCATTTTCTCAGGACATCTCGATGAGTACAAAGGCAAAAAGTCAGTGTGGAATTCTTCAATGATTTCATCAATTTCAACCATGATTTTTCTCCCATTTCAAGGGTTGTTCTTCTCCTGTGCGGCGGCAATATCGACACAACAATCTTTGGACGGTGTCTGGAGCGTGGTTTGGCAGCAGAAGGACGTCTCCTTCGCTTCTGCGTCACCGTGAGTGATCGTCCGGGAGGAATTTCTGAGCTGTGTCGCGAACTGGCCGCTCTGGGAGTGTCCATAAAGGACATAATGCACGAGAGAGCCTGGCTAAGGGATATCTACAGTGTGGAGGTGAAAGTGGTCTGTGAGACCAGCGATTGGGCTCACTCTGAGTTGCTGCGGAAAACTCTCACTGAGAAGTACAGTCATGTGGTGTTTAACGACGTTCCAATGGCAATTCCCAAATGAGGCAGAAAACACAGAGAAAAGCTACTCCCAAGGGAACAAAATAATCGCAAATGATGTAAAAAGATGCTAATGAAAGTAGAAAATAGATTTTATGTTCTTTAGAAGAGTGTTAGAATTGTTTTTAGACTTTAAGGTGGGAAGAGGACGTTGAATATTTGAATGTTTGAAGTCAGAGCGAAAAATCGCTGAGTTCAGCGAATTGCGGCGAGAGAGCGCGCGAGAGAGAATTGTCAAATAAACGTGCTCTCCTGTGTAAAATGTAAACAAACAAGTTTTCTCGTGTTTATTGGGGAAATTCCGGAGAATTCTTGACATTCTATCTTGCAAAAGGTGTGATATTGATAGTAGAATAGTAAAAGAGTGGAATTTCGAGAGAATCTATCAAATTTTGTGAAATATTGAAGTAAATAATGGAAGACGATAGTGAGCATAAATTCCTCGAATTGAGGCCAATGCGGTGTGAATTGGACGTTTTATCGCGATCTGATGGTTCTGCGCTTTTCGCTCAAGGTATGTAAATGCTGAATTTGTGAGGAAAATGCTGGGAAAATGGATAATTTCCTCTCTTCGTTCACCGCATTTATCCAATACACATTCTTCTGCACCGGTCACTGATACGGTGCTATCGCCATCTAGCGACTAGTGGTTAATGGGCGTTCAAATGGTTTCAGGTGAAACGGCCGTGCTTTCCTCCGTCCACGGTCCTGTCGAGGTGAAATTGCAGAATCTGCAGTACGACAAATCGAGCGTGGAGGTGTACTACAAGAGCAAGAGTGGTCAGCAGAGCGTGGGAGACCGATTCCGTGAGCAGTACATCAGGAATACCTGCGAATCGGCACTTCTCACAGCGCTCTATCCGCGCACAGCAATTTCACTGCAATTGCAGGAAATGGAAGATCGTGCCGGGGTAATTATCCACCCAAAGACGCTCTGTGGCCCACCTGAGGCAATCTGCTTCAGGTGGAAAGGGAGGCTGAAGACGCTGTTTTTCGCTCTGACAAATGGCAATTTGCTTCCAGTCTCTGCGTTGCTCCCTGTTTTCCCCATTCTCTGTGATCTCTCGCGCGGCCACTGCGCCGCCGCGATTCAGCGATAGGTTGGAAATGGGCTGCGCAAGTCAATAAACTAGCGCATTTGATATCAGAGAGAGAGAAAAAGAGTGGAAGGAAAAAAATTGCACCAGAGAAAAGCGCACAGAAAGAGAGTCTGGCGATGCAGCGCCTTCAGCATTTTGTTAATTAGCTCAAAGCGCTCAGATCAAGATTGAGTCAATCGTTTGCGCTCGAATTGCAATTAAGGTGGTGGCAAAATGAGCTGCAAACACGCTGCGCACCTCTTTTTCTGTCCCAATCCGCGTCCAGAGAGTCTTCTTCTCTCGCCACCGGCGGGAAAAAGGCTAAATTCACTGACTTTTTCCACGCCAATAGATTTGCCCGGTAGTTTAATGGGGATTCCACCCGTTTTTATGAGCCTCTGTGCGCGCCTTCGATGCAAAATAATCGCCAGAGACTCTCGAAGAATGGCTGTAAATTTTGTCAATTATCCTCAAGTAATTTAATTGATGTTTTTGATACACAACAGATGGAAAATGTCACACAATTGCCAATAATTGGACTGTTATTATAATTTAGTGATCGCAAAATGGACCGATTATGATCTCGCGATTCATTCTCCTGAAAAAAAGAGTGAAAAAGAAAGAAATTGTCAAGTTGAAGTAACTTTTCTTCCACTGGCTGTTTTTATTTCAATTTATCCAGAGAGACAAATCGATTTGTATGCAAATCACACTGAAATGATCATGATCTTGAGGTGAAGCATTAACACAGAAACATTCTCTTGCACTGATGATTGATCAATTTATCAAATAGACAATTTTATCTATGCAATTGCAGTGGAATCTGATTTGCATTTTCTTGATATTTTCCTCTCTTAAATACTCAAAGAGAACACACAAAATGTCAAGTGCTCAATTCTGCATTTTGCCTTTCAATTAATACGCCATCGAGGAGATAAGACAATTCTTTTTTTCATGCCATGTTGGATGAATCATTGAACTCTCCTTTGGGTGAATGAGATAAAAAGGCGCGCGCGCGCGAAAAAGGGGGGAAAAGTGAAGATTCTCTTATCTCAACAATTGCGGTGCTAAAGTGAGAGCGACGAAGTGAGTTCTTTGCCATATTATATATTTATATTCCAGTGAATTAGCACTTTTGTACGTGATATCTAATGGATGGCAAATTAAAATATATTTTATTCCGTTGTTGAGAGAATTTTGGGAGTGTTTGAGTGGCGCATTTCATGCTCAGCGTGCGTGAAAGACGGTCACATTTGGAGGGTTGAGAGAGCACTTTAAGCCCTCTCTCGACACCTGCGCAGGGGTATTAATTGCTCGATAAGAGACACAGCAATGGCAGGGAGAGGAAAGGCGTGCCTTAATCTGCATGTTGCAACTCAAGAATCTTGTACAGGTCAGAAGCAATTATTCTCATTGCCATTTTTCGCGCACACACAGAGTGGACAGAAGAGTTCCTGTGTCCGATCGATTAGCGCACAAGAGATGGGCAGAGAGAGACTCGCACTGTGTTCAACAAGATGACATTAATTCTCCCCGGTGTTTTGTCTCTCTTTCTTCTCATTATTGGACTCCGCGGGCTGCGCTGGTGCAATATGACCAGCGCCACGGGCAGGTGCAGCTCATGGCGAAAGCGTACACCGCGCGCGCGCGCGTCTGGATGACATCGCCGTGGTGTTAACTTTATGGCCGTCTCTTAATTGAATCAACCGCTAAAAGGACGATTAAATTCTTTTTTTTATGAACTTTAGAATTGAGGTTTATGGACGGGAGTAAATCAATTTTATTGCATGCAAAACAAGGGGAGAAAGGGACTTTCTGTCACCTCAGAATTAACCTTGACACACAACAAATGCGCTCAGATAAAGACGAAAATTCTACAAAATATGGTTATTTTTGTTTTTATCACCCTGAAAATCAACTGAAAACTAACCTAAATCTAACTGACAACTTGATCTGAGATTTCCATGATTTTCTGGCTCTTAATTTCTGAATAACAGTGAATTTTCTCTTAAAATCTCGGCCAGAATCTTTCTATCTCAAAATTGAAACCTTAACAGCTGTTAACTAAGTAGAATTTGAGGTTATGTTTAACTTTAGCATTGATTTTCACCACTCAGCTTCCGGAATCATGAATTTTATTCAGTGAAAAAGAGCAATTCTCTTAATAACATGAAAATAATTACATTTTCTTTGCGAGAATTTCCTTTCAAAGCTGTTATTTAGTGTTAAATATGATGCATAACCTGAAAAAATATTTCAAGATGGTGTAATTGCACTTTTAAGTAAGTTTTTGACTATAATCTTTTGAATAACAGTGAGTTTTCTCAAAGAATCTTGATTATACAAGCTTTTGAGCTTAAAATTTCAGCTATTATCGTAAAATATTTGAGGTTATGTTCACTCAGCTTGCGGAATTGTGATTTTCATTGAGTAAAAATGACCAATTCTGTTAATAACCCTAGAAAATATGTCAAAATGCACGCCTGCATAAGAATTGATTTCTAATCTGTGGAAATTCTGACCATAACCTTGGCAAATGACATCATTTCCAATAATCGTACACCGCAGGCGAACGTGGCTTCGCCCTTGCCTTGAGCACGGTGGATTTTTCACTCCCACGTCGCCGGCGGGTGCAATTAGTCTCACCACTAATTGCTTCTTTTCTCTCCTCTATTTTGCAGTTAATTGCGTGCGCCGTGAATGCGTCGTGTCTGTCACTTCTGCACAGCGGCCTCGAGATGCGCTTCCTCGTGGCCGCCGTGCACTGCGCTCTGCGTCCCTCCGGCGCGCTCCTGCTGGATCCTGACGCGAGGACGATGGCCGAGGAGGGCGGCTTCGTGGCCACGTTCACGTTTGCCTTCGAGAGCGTGTCACGACGGACGGTGGCCGTGCACACGGAGGGACACTTCACGGCGGAGCAGTTCAATGAGGCGCAGGAGTTGTGCGCGAAGGCCAGCGAGGCAATCTTTGACTTCTACCGGAAGAGTTTGAAGAAATACATGAAGGTGTACTGCTGATGGGCGAGCAAAGTGATTTAATGTGCCTCCTTTTGGGAATATATCTGCCACTGTAATTGTCCCATTGCTGTCTCATGTTCTTCGTCCGCTCTTCAGCTTCCTTTCCTTTCTGTGGCGTTCGATGCGCGGCGTTTTATCTGCGAAAATTCTGTCTGATTGTGGAGCAGAAATGAAATAATTCCGTGGAGTCTCTCTGGATGGGAAAAAGTTCTTGCTGAGCATTATATTGGAATTTCAAATGGTCGTCGAAAGGGGGAGAGAATTTCGGTGTCTGCGGAGAATTTCAATGCAATCCCATTTCTCATTTGGGTGCGGCGTCTTCAACTGTGGCCGGGCAATTTCCTCGATGGACGACAGAAAGAGTGCAAATTTAATTTAGAACCATCACTCCGGTGTTGGCGGAGATAAACTGGGCGATTTTTGCATAAATGGCCGCAGCAACATCGGAGGAATTAAGTTGCATTTGATGCGTTTGTTTTGTGCGATGGAATCTTTTGCAACATCTCTGAATTCTCTTCCCTCCATCATCAATCAATTGGCATCGAAGCAGTGACCACACAGCTCAATGAAAGAGGAGATTTTCTTGCATCTCATCCACCTCCAATCTCGCTCTTCCTCTTGTGGCCATTATTCTCGCGGCAGCGGAGGATGAAGGTGAATCTCCCGGAATGGTGGAGTTGGTAAAAAGAGACCCAAACAAGAGGGTCATTTGAATAATATTTTATTTCAATCGCTGTGAATCATTTTCTGGGTGTTTGGAACACAATAACAAGACTCACTGGACGAGGGAGTGAGAGGCCAGTGGACACGCTCTGGCCAGAACGTGGTGCTGGCCAAGGGGGAGTTAATAATCACAGACACTTCCAGAACTCTGGCAGTGCTTAAAACATGCATTTTCCTTATTTTCTTCACCTTTTTCGGGGTTTTAATAGATCTTTCTAATCACATTAAATATCATAACCTCAAATTTAGAAGTCTGACCTAAAAAGACGCCATTTAACTCCTGAAAACTTGCAGAGAAACAGTTTAATAGAAATATTTCAAGTTTCCAGTGGATATTTTGATGTAATTCAACTTTCAATCACTCTTTTGGATGCACTTTGGAACATAACCTCAAAATTACC